ACATTCGAAAAATTCGAATATTATGTTTGTTACATCTGAACTCCATCATTTCTAAATCGATTTGGATTTTATTTATTTGTAATAGTATACTTTCCGTTTAGCCCTGTTCAACGAAGACAAAATGTTTCCCTGAGGGTGAATAAGAAAGGAATAAAAAAAATACAGTTAGTAAAATTTCAACAAGATGAAGGCCCATTAAAGTCGGTTATATTTTTTTATGGTGACTTTTGTCTTATGACGTAATAATATTACTTATATTCATAGGTACATATATTCTATGATGAAAGCACTTAAACATATAGCTTACACGAAAACAAGACACAAATATGACGATTTTTTATATCCATAAAACAATAAATCCAAAGTTAGACTCGTCAGACCAAGCATACTCGCTTCTACCTTTTAAATAACAAAGGGCTTGTTATTAGTTGTCATCGAATACAAATCAGATTCCTAACGTTTTGATACAAACCGTTCTATAATGTACTTTCAAGGTTACTGTTCGGTATTGGAACAAATAGGTTATAGTAGCCAGTAGACCGCGACTGACTAAGTAACTGTTCAAACTTCAAACCGTGGATCACACAAATGATAAGAGGTCATTAGCAGCCGGGTCCAACGTGTAAACTGTTCGTCCCAGAATGCGATAACGACACCGAATTATTATCCTAGAGTCCGCCAACCCCGTTGTTTTAAAAATTTTATTTCACCGCCTAAAAACGTGCGTATGCCTAGCTATCTTGTTTATAGATCTTGACACAATTTTGATACGAGTCCTACAAACCATGGTTTTACGGTGAGATAAGAAAACTTGGCCGTAACTACGTAGCTATTACCAAGTAAAGCGAAAATTGAAAGTCAGTGTATTTTTAGTATTAGTTTAATAACTTTGCTTTCATGCTGCAATGCGCTAAATTTGTTATAGGATTCGTATTCATTCAGTTAGGTAGGCCCAACCTGTAAAAAAATATGTAGGTAATATAAGGTAGATATTACGGCCCTTCAAGTGTAAATTTATAATGATTTCTATTTCATTAGGAATAGGTTTTAATGCTTAAAGAAAATTGAACGGACCATCGACAATAGCACGCAATTTATAAAGTATTTATTTTAGATTTAATGCAAGTTATAATGAGTAGTCTTTGAATAATATGTTGTCTATGATTAAATTAAGCCCAACCTGTGATTGTTATATTAGTGCTCGTTACCGGGCCCTTTTTAAATTTAATTACAATGTACGTAAATACACCTTATAACCAAAAACATAACTCACATAACAAATCTCACAATCTAACCTTCAGACTATGGCCTACTAAACTTACTACTACTAAAATACCTCCTCCTCTCTGTATATTACCTATACAGTTGTACAACTTCCGTAACGACTAAGGAACCAATTAATGTTACTTATTTATGTACATAATTTAAATATACTGCTACCGTTAACGTTAGTACCTATAACTTTTATTTGTAAAGGGAATTAGCAGTACTGAAATATATATTTAAAAAAATGTTATGTTGGTTTGTGGACGCTTAAAAAACTTGAAAAGTTTTGCACCGATGAGATCAAATTTTGACACGATATACAACCCACTTCAAAGATTGTTTTTGTCTATTTTTCGATTCACTTTTGTTCCTCATTTCTCATCATACAACCACAATGTGCCACAGAGGAGCTTGGCAGGGAACAGCTAGTGAATAAATGATTTTAAAGACTACCGTTTCAAATGAAATGGCAAACAAAGGACTTCAAATCGAATTTTAACGATACTTAATTGCTATAGTTAAATTAATATATTATTACATTCCCGTAACTTTTACTCTAAGTTATTTGCTGGTAAAAGTCGTAAACTCACCGTAAATGACTGTCATTAGTCTAACTAGGTACGTCATTTTTCTTTGTTCGTTTTTATAATGTTGTACACATTGTAGATAATCTAATAATGACTAATAGTTTTTAAACTTAGAGCCTATAAATACAAACTAATAAAACAAGGCATGAAAATAAATAATAAAGGTCTCACAAAGGTATTTCTTTATTATAAATGTTTTTGTGACTGTTTATTTTCTTTCGTATTTATATTTTATCAATTGTTATTATGATGTTCTAATAATCTTATTGGAACATCATAATAATAATTGCCATTTGAAATTAATGTAATTTATTCTGAGGTTTCTTCTATTCTTTTGTTTATGAATTATGGACGCAATGAACTACCGTGGGACTTTCTCGCCAAAGAATCGCACCTACAAACGTAATTTAACATTTCATGTCAATAGGGCCACGTTATAATAAAGTATAATAAATAGTTAGTCGCAATTGTTTTGATAAATCCTATTACTATCTTAAATAGGACCTAAAGTACTGTCTTTTTAGGTAAACGCGCAATTTCGATGTTTAAAACTGCCGTCAAAAGTTCCTCGTGTAGAATAAAAAGTTTAACCCTTTTTTTTATTTTAAAGTTTGAAATACCAAAATGTATCTTTAATAATATTATCTGTAGATGATTTTGACTTACTTTATTTAACTTTTAAGCCTTCTTGTGTTTTAAAAAAGCTAAACAGATCAATTCTTATAAGCAAAAACTATTTTCCGGACCATAGGAAGTGGATCACGCAAAGTGTCAGAGGGTCTGAGGAGTGATTTGTCCAGCTGATTAAATTAGCGAAAGGATGTCGCTCCAATCTCGGGGTCAGAAGGGTCAGGTACGGCGGTGCGTCTTCATAGCGTCAGCTGCCGTTAACACGTGTCCCTCATCAGATATTGTTGAATGATTCAGCCGTGTTTAGAAAAGCCGGTCCTTTTGAATTAAACAAGGGACTCAATAAGTCGTTATTGACACCTATATAATTAAGATTTTACTGTCCACGGTTTAACAGGGATTTTTACGCACCTTTCTATACAAGTTGTAAGATAAAGGTACTAAAATATTGTATATATTAACACGTGAAGACAATTTTGTACCCATTTTTAAGTGAATTTCGGTAACAAAGGAACCCGTAGTTGAAAATACTAAAAGTTTATTTTTTTTCTAAAAGAAGGAAAGAAAGCTAAATAAAAAAAATGTGTTACAAATTAAAAGAATATGTGTAAAAAACTAGAAAAATAACGTAGTAGTTAGGTATGTAACTTGATACGTTGATATTGAGATAAATAGAACATTTACACACCAAACACTATTTCCAAAATACCGGGTCTACCAATAGGGATGACCTGGTTTTGACAGCTCATAGGGGCCATGTTTGATGATGGATCTTTGACTTCTCTTGACATTTGTGTTCAGTAAGGTTTGCCATTTTATCATGTCACGTTTCACTTTAAACCAACGCTTGGAAATTGTCCAAAATTTCTTTGAAAGTGACGAAGGAAACCCTGTTACTGTGAATTGCGAGCGCTATAACTCGATGTTAACCGAATATTTCTTTCCAGAATTTGATGATATTGATGCAGACGACCTTAATTTTCAACAAGACGGTGCACCACCTCACATTACTCGAGTGAACATGGAATTATTGTGTGGAAAGTTTGGTGAGTCGTTAATTTCAAGAAATGCACCCATCAGTTGGCCACCAGGATCGTGTGATTTCACACCTTTAGACTATTTTCTTTGGGGTTACGTTAAATCTAAAGTGTACAGCAATAATCCAGCTACAATTCGTGACCTAAAAACCAACATTCGAAGAGCCATAGCCGACATACCGGCCGAAATGGTGCACCGCGTCATCGAAAATTTGCGTGAGCGGGTGACCGTCTGCAAAAAGAGCCGCGGCGGTCATTTGGCCGATATATCATTTAAAACATAAATTGCATAAAATTATCTATCAAATAAATCAATTGGGTGCATTTTTCATAAAAAATTGTGTGTTTTATTCAATTTTTAAACCAGGACGTTCTTATTGGTAGACCCCATACTTAACGATTCAGTTAATGGCGTGAAGATATATATTTGCGAGATAGTTATTTGGATTAACTTTGAAAACATTAAATGACCTACATACTGTACTTTAGCTAATTATAAAACTACGAAAAGAAAAAAATACAGGTATCTGGTTCAGATCATCACACCCATAGTGCCGCTGCCGTAAGGCAAGGTTTGTTAAATTTCTTACTTCCTACGTTCACACAAACAATGTTCAGACAATCAAACTTAATATACTCAGAAATTGCTGTGATAGTTAACTTAGTAGATTGCATAGTTTATTTAACAATTCCCGAATGGAACGTGCTTCACACAAAGTTTTTTTTGCACGAACTAGTGAGGTGCGTGTTCCTTACACGATTGAAGTGTTTGCTGATAACACGCGTTTATTTCGCAATTTATTACATAAAAGTGTTAAATATTGACTATACACACAAACAGGTGAATACCTAAATCAATATCAGTTGAATGGGCTCCATACCAGCCCTTATCATGGCGAGTACCTAGAGCGTGCTGTTATCATATGCCTTATCTAATACTTTATCGTAAGAATAGACTGATCAATAATTGCATTGGACTTGTTTTGATTAAAAAAAAATTGGGCCGATGCCAGTTTTTAATTGAATTCGGAAAAGGAAACATTTTTTTTTTTTAAATTAAAGTTGTATCTAGTTAATTATCAATAGATAGGGTCACTAATCAACTTAGGAACTAGAAAACTAGTTAGAAAACATTAACGTTATATTAACTAAAAATACTTATAAGAAGGAAACTAAATACTTTATTTATTTTGCAAATAACAACTCCAATCAGAATCTGATTTAAGTATTCTTAACTTTATGTCTATCACGGAACAGAGAAGGTGTATCTACTCTTCTTAATGTTTATTTATTTACGCTGATGGACAAAATAGGATATAATGAAATAGCTACCCGAAATTTTATATTAAGTTACTAAATGAGCCTTTATAATTTACCAGCAAGCCCTTTGCTAAGCCAGTCACTATGAATTAAAAATAAAAATCAAATCTGAGAACAAGTATTCAAGACATTTATAAAAAATAATACATTATTTACTAACCACTGCTGTAAGTCTCCCGCGCACTGTAATCCCGATCATAGGAGCGAATCGCACCTCCACTCCCGGCTCTATCACAAGCTCTGCATCTCTCTCAATCAGCAGGTCGTCCCGCAACAAGTATGGGCTACTATCCGGTTTCCATACAGTACGGCCGCCGGTTAACACACCACCCGGCAATTCCGTCAATCCTAACGACTTGTTTAGAAGATAAGGGTCTGCCCCTCCGAACGACTCCTGTCCTTTACACCCACAAAAGCAATAGAAAACCGTTATGATGAACACTGACACTGTCCTCCACTTATACTTCGTGTCGCTAAACTGACTATGTCTCTTCTGAACACCCATATCTTTACAGCACTCCATTATTCACTAACTGAACACAAAAATATTCATTTCACTTTTAATAAGGCTCCTCACCTGCCCAGCCTATTTTACACCTATCTAAACATCACTGAGGTAAATCGTTTCCTAAAATAATGCACAATACATTTTTTATTGATAGACATTTAACTTATAACTGATTTCTCACGTTAATTGGAAAAACTGTATCAAAACAATGCATAACGAAACAAAGGTGGGGCTAGTAAAAATAAAAGAAACGAAAATGCGCGCTGTCGCGCGACCGTTGAGCGAAGCGGTTTGGCCGGTTTTCTTGTAGATTTGATTCCTGCGCTCGGCCCTCCTCGCGTATCAACCGTGTTCATTCATTCATTCATTCCTTCTATCAAAGCCTCCTCCCCTCCATATAAAGCCTCACGATATATATATATATAATGTATATATATATATATATATATATATATACGTATTTATGTCAAAGATTAGCACGGCCCGGTTTTGTTTGCTTATTAATGTGAGTGAGAAGTGGGTATAATACACTGTTTATAACCTTTGAATATAATTGTAGAAATACATTATTATGTGTATGAATGATAGTTTCTTTTGTCTAAAATATGAATATATTATGCCTTGTAAGGTTTTTGTATAACAGGAGGAGGTGGCGGAGGTGGTATGAAAATAATTAGAAAGTCTGACCATTAAAATTAAATGGATGTAATATTATGCCACGACCTTGTCACAACGACATTAATGGGACCCCCCGGGCCCCAACCCCCGCCTGCTTCCCTGGTCAAACCAGGCGACTTCTTCCTTCTGGAGAATTTGACACAAGAATTCTTGTTCGGGGTGCATGGTGCAGGCAGGCCCCGCAAGATATACTCTGTTAGCCTTACCAGTAGTTAGTATGGTTGGTGTATACTTACTAACCAGATCGGTAGGCAATCCCAAAATATCTATAGGGCCCCATAGATTCTTTTAGCGACTCGCTCTGCGTTCATCCTTTCAACAACCCAGACTATCACAACATCCATTTCTAAATCATCGTCACTACATCTTCTTTCAACCCGCGCCATTTCCTTCCACCTCGCGCCACCTCCTCATTCCTCCGGCCAGCAGTCAATCTTACATATCACAACATGGTCTATTTAATTTGACACCCAGAAATTAAAAAATAAAAGAGACTTTTAATTTTTTTTTATGGACAGTAAATAAACATTCTAAAAAAATTAAGAAAACAATAACTATTAAACAAATAGGTAGTAAAGGATACTCTGTATTCATGAAAGCATCATAGCAAGCTCAAAGGTAAAATATCCTATTTTTTATTACAGAAAATATATTATTTGTCATTCCTTATTTTCATTAATTAATTATTATTATTCCTTTGTAAGGGGAGGTCTATGTCCAGCAGTGGACTATTAAAGGCTGTTAATGTGATGTGAATTATTGAGAGGAGTCGGCGGGACTCCACCGACTCCTCTCGACTCTTGTCACGTGATGTCACATTTCCTACACCCCTTGTCTTAAAGGTGTGACATAATTTAAGGATAGTTTCCACAGGCTCCTCTTCATATGTAGGTAGTGTGAAATAAAAGACTTATGTTAGAACTATGTTTATTTATTTATATAATTATTTAATATTGTTCATAGTGCTGGCAACATTGTGTCTAGAACGCCATCATGACGAATTCAGATGACGGTGCGCGGAAAGACAGCTGCTTACAAAACTACATAGTTTTGGGAAGTCTAAACCCGGCTTTAAGATTGGAATTAGTTCTGATATAACTACTTTCAATTGTAGAAAAATATTGTAACGTGATTACGTCTTGTGTGGTATAATTTTTCGGGTTGTGTAAATCACATGGTTGACAAAGGTGTCACAATGCGTCGTTCCAGTGATTTCAGAAATATGAAAACTATCAAAGTTTTGTACTGTGCTTATATGCGGAGTCACTTGGAATACGCTGTTCAGATCTGGAATCTATGCTATGATTGTTACTCCAATGAGATTGAGAAAATACAAAAGAGATTTATTCGTTACTTAGGATTCCAATTCTAACTTTTACATAACGAACTGTTTTCATTTGTATTTTATCTATTTACATCTTTAATCATTTATTTAGAATGTTTCTTGTGTATCTGTGGAAGCTTGTTATTGGTATTTCATCAACTAAATTACTGATGTACTTGTACTGTAGCTGTAAGCTCCCCAAATAAAATAAAATAATTGTGACGTTTGCCTTAATTTTATCGTGGGAGAGCCATGCTCATAGAAAGTCGGTGTTAAGCAATTCCTTCGTTGTTTTTCACCGAGTGAGTGAGGTTATCGGAGTCCAACCATCCCTCTCTCCTCTTTGATTTTAGGGAGGAACTCGAAAGACGCCCTCCTTCTCCACAACAACTCACTTGTGAGCGGCGGTAGTCACTTATTATCAGGTGACCCGTCTGTTCGTTTACCCCTACTCCATTAAAAAAATAGAAAACTGCGATGCCGGAGCCTCTAGAGTAGACCGATAAAATAATCTTTTTTTTCTGTTTTAACACGTATATACTTGAACAAGGAGTATGCACTGTATTACAAATTAAAATCGTTACAGTTAAAAACGTGTTTAGCCGTTTCTATTACAGAGTACATTTAAAAAAAATAAAAACACACAAATAATATTAATTAAATATTAAATTATTATAACTCCGTCAGAATCTGAATGTCAATGGTAGTTTAAAAAAAACTTGTCAATTTTAAATTATTACGTAATTACAATTTTATTAAAAACATCCAGGGGTTTTTTTATTAGTTCATGACAAAAATAAATTATGAGAATATATATATATATATATATAGATCATGTCACATTTATATTTTTATAATATAGTTCATTTCACAATGACCTTTTACATCTTTTCATCCATTTTCAAATTTTAACCAATTTTTTAGTTTGTTTTCTGTTTTAGTCGATTTTATTTTATTCAATTGCAACACTATAGACAAGCCGACTAAAACGCTTCATTCATTCATTGCTAACTGCGTTTGGAAAATATTAACGCTCGTTCATTCACTCATAAATTTCGTCGACTCTTTTATGTCTTCATATTTTATAGTTGAAATAGTTAAAATAGTAAATAGTTTTAAGTAATTTTAGGCCCATTTTAATTGCTTATCATTTTTATATCAACGTTACACGTAAGTTTTTATAAATTCTTATGTAGTTTAAGATTTTAACTAATTGTTGGCGTGGCGTGGCAATGCCTGTGAAGTGTCGACATTTTGTTTTCTACATTGTATTGATATATTTATTTTCGTGTAAAGTACGTGTTTTTAGTGACTATTTTCATCATTTATAGTTTCATTGACACGATTTTAACGCATTTATAAAGCGATTTAGTCATCCTCACTTTATTTTTAGATTTCAACACAATCATGAGTTCTGGTGGCACTCGCGTGTATGTCGGCGGGCTTGTAGAAGGCATCAAGAAGGAAGACCTCGAAAGAGAGTTCGACAAATATGGGAAACTAAATTCAGTTTGGGTGGCACTTAACCCTCCCGGTTTTGCATTCATAGAATTTGAAAACTTGCAAGAGGCAGAGGATGCGTGTAGCGCTATGAACGGCTTCGAGATGTTAGGCGCGACCTTAAAAGTAGAGATCTCCAGGAAGCGTGACGGACCACGCCGTGGAGGTGGCTTTAGAGGTGGCCGTGGAGGTAACTTCAGGGGTCGTGGTTTTGGCGGTCCGCCCAGTAGCGGTGGTGGCAGATCGTTCAACTCCTACGGTGGCGGCGGCCGCCCCTACAATCGCAACAATCAACGCGATGAGTACGGTTCCGGTGGTGGTAACTTCAGATCTAGGTCACCTCTGTCTCGATATTAATTTAGTATTTAGTTTATCATTAGGTGTTAGTGTTATCGTAATCTGAAGCCTTCCAAGTGTTAAATTCAATGTCTGAAATAAACTGGGGGTTTAATACTAGGAAGCGTTCCATTGATGTCTCAAGGAATTAGAGGTAATACAAATTCATTTTTACCTACTTATTATAATAAACTTGCAGAATTCGTATAACATCTATTAGCATTTAATATGTGTGAAACTTGTCTTGTGTTTAGTTATTCATGTAGAGGTAAATGACTATGTTCGTGTAGTTCAACAATATTTGAAAATAATCTTAAACTTGATGTTAATGCAAACAATGATATTGATTAAGTGTAATAGATTATAAAACAATTAATGTATCTTGCAACTTAAAATATAAAGTGTGGTTTTAACTATGGTTTTTGTTTCAGTTTCTTGGAATTCTGATATCTGGTCAAAAATAATTTGTGAGATGTAAATGCAAGAACAATCCTTCAGTAATTACTTAACATTCTGCCTAAGCACCCTAATTGCTAAGTTTCTTTAAAAAAAATACATGATTATATAATTCAATCAGATTTTTATTGTGTCTATAAAATTGCATCACATTATTATTATTTCTAAAGTTTAAATCATTATGAAGGGCTGCTGAGACACGCCATGAGTAATTCCATCTTGTTTAAGAAGTTCTTGCCTTCCATTTTCTCAAGCTTGATCTCTTTGAACGCTCCTCCGAGATGTTCCCACTTCTTGTCTTGAACGAGTTCACTGGCAAAGAAGTCTTTTCTTGGAGATTGAGCTATAAAAACTTGAATTCCAACTGATGGCTCACATCTTATTGCAATCATTCTATCACCTGAAATAAAAATGTATTTTGAAATACCCACAATCAGCAGATTTCAATTAATATTTAATTAGATCTCGAGAGGAAGCAATCTATGAATTAACAATATTACTAGATAGATTCATTCTTTGCAAATAAATTATTTGAATATGATGAGAATGGGCTCCTCAACTTCTGTTAGCTGAGTTTACAAAATGAACTTTAAAATATGAACAATTAAATTGGGTTCTTATGAAGTTTGCCGTCCAATAACCCTGGAAATTAAACTATAGTAAGAAAATTTCAAAAAAGGTTAGCTTGCAAATAAATTTTGAAATAAAAATACTGATAATAACCTCTTGCGTCAGTGATTACAGTACTGATTACAATAATGTAGGTACTTGTTTACCAGGTTGTCTGACAGCAGCCATTTTATGTCATCACATAAACTAGACAGGTATTGGGTACAATTGTTCCATGTATTTCGTGGTGATGATGATGTATTTTACATCTTATCAAGTATAAAAGGCAAGAACACTTGTCTCTAGTAACTCTGAAGAAACAGTCAGTATAGTAGGCTATTCGAACCTACCATTTGGAGATGCAAGAAGACAAGAGGAGGCGTTCCCAAGTGGTTCCACTGGGCCTGATCCAAGATGAGAACTACTAGCAAGCAGTTGCCATCCCATGCATCGGCCCACTGCCTGCACAGCTGTCATTTGATGCTGGTAAATCTGGCGGGAATTTTTTTGATAAGTATATTAGTAATATAAGTGTGTGTATTTCTGATTGTGCTAATGTGATAGTGGATTTAGATACTAATATAATTAATTATATTATACCGATTACGGATATGAAAGTAATGCGAATTATCTGACAGTTCCGGATAGTTTTAATTATGGATATTAGACAAAGACAAATTAATATTAGACAAGTACAACGAAAGTACCTTCCGTACCTATTTTAATAATTCTACTTCATAGGTACCTAATTATTTTACTGTAACTAACCCTGTTCTAATAAAATAAATTTAAAAAAACTCAGTGGTTTGAATAGACTAAAAATATATACCTTTAAAATCTTGAATACTAAATGACCATTGAAAACATTCGAGTACATTGACCTGCAGTGAGGTCAACTAGCTTATAAAATTCTCAAGGTTATACGTGACATGATGGGTGTACAATACACAACAAAGTTAATGTAAATGCTAACTAAACAGCATTTAAAGTATTTTAGAAATATGGTCATTCTATGATATTCAAGTAGACAGTGCAATAAACGGCCAGAAATGTTAGAGGCCACCTGAATTAATGCTTACCTACCTCACCGTAATTACTTTTACCTATTCAATATTAACAGTTACACTTCCGTTTATGTGATGTTACATAGCCTAGAAGCTTCCATAATTAATACTATATCTAACAAAAACAAATAAATATTTTATTGAAATCTGACTGATAGTTCCAGACATTAGTGTTTCAACAAAAAACTCAAGTTGATATTTTAGTACAAATAACAGAACTCATAGCAGTAGAAATAGTATTGTTGGCTATATCTTAATGCGTCACCTTGGTCTGTCTCTTTATCGTGATACAATCATATCTCAACGGAAATTACCTATGTCAACAGTCAAATTTGTTATGTAGGTAGGTTGTTAATTCAGGTTAATACATTTGCATAAACTAGAAATAGAATTTCGACTCATTGATATTTTATTTATTCCATTGGCCTGTACTTAGTTTAACTTGTATTGGCATTGGATAAACAAAACTGTACCATGATATACTAGACGCTTATAGCTTAATGTAGCTGTTACAATTCCCTTAAAATGCAAGATTTCTCTTAAAATTAGTAAATAAAAATTAAGTTTAATGACTTGTGAGAAATAGTAAGTAATGTAAACAATGATGTGATCATTACTAATTATATGCAATGATGTTTGTGGTCATACTAATATGCACCGAGCCATTGACAAGATAAAGGTACAAACAGACCTACAGTTTTGCTGGGATATTATTTACCTTCAAAATAAGATGATGACATTGCAACATTGTCTTTTAATGAATTCATTGGGATCAATAGGTTCATAAAAAGGTTAACGAAATGACTTATAAATACAAAGAGATCTTAGCTAGTTGGGGTTTGGAGGCTAGTTATTAGTGGCTTATAGATTTGTCTTCACATGTGTAAGGCAAATCAATAAGCTTCCGTGTTATTAGGAATATCAAGTGTCACCACCTCTATTCATCCCGAGGGTGTCGTAGGAGCCGCCTAAACGAGCAAACTATTCAGAATAACAACATTTCAAAGAGAAGGAAAACTAGAAACAAACCTTATACCAACCCGTTAGGTATAGTAGGCCACTAAGGATAGGCCTATGCCCAGCGGATGACTACTAAAGGCTGTTGATGATTGATGATAATGATGTCCAAAGCCTGGCAGAGTGTGAATACCAAAAAATTTGTAAAGGGAAATAAAAATTTGATGGCACTTTTTGAAATGGTATTAATATGCGTTGCTGGTTTTATTTAGTTATTACTATACTACTAATAAAACTTGAAACAAATCCTATACCAGCCTGTCTGGTCAGCATGGTATAGTAGGCCTAAACCTCCTTTCATCCATGGTGAGGATGTTGTTGTTGTGCTTATTTTAAGACTGTTAACCATGATTGGCTTGGACAAAATAACAGCGGATGGCATGCTTTGCATTGTCATCTACACGCTGAGCCCTACACCATTTTGTCTTGTCTTGTTTCAACATTATTATTCAAGTATTGTTATTAATTTTATTATGCGATGTAAAAGACAAATAAAGTTTTTCTTATTCTTATTTTATCTAAGGAGAGGCCCATGTTCAGCATTGATAATGCAGTTGATGATGATGATACTACTATATTATTTAGTCATCAACAACCTTTAATAGACCACTGCTGGACATAGGCCTCTCCTTAGAAAGGAGGTTTTGGCCTACTATTATTTAGTACTATTATTTTGTAACTGATTGAATTGATTGAAATGAATTCCAACATCTAGGATATTTTAATGGTTTTTTAATGGAAATTTCCAGAACTTCCAGAATGCAAAGTTCTGGAATTATTTTTTTCTCTATAATATTAAAGTGTGTAACATCATCATGTTGGACATAGGCCTCTCCTTAGAAAGGAAGTTTTGACCTACTATACCACTCTAGCCAGACGGGTTGGTATAGGGTTTGTTTCACGTTTTCCTACTCTTTGCAGTGCTGTTGTCCTGCGTAGTTTGCTCCCTTAGCCGGCTCTTAGGACACCCATGGGATGAATAGGAGTGGTGAAACTCAGTATTCTTAATCTGTCACCGCACGGACTAACATATAATGTTTTTCATTAATTTTATATAAAAATGACATATGAGTTTAAAAAGACGAAACATTACCTGGCAGTATATTAAATCTCTGAGTTCTTGAAGTTCGTAAGACAAATGTCTCACTTTCCCATCGCGACAGATACATTTGAGAGTCTTTTCACCGACATGCACAACCAACGATGTTCTGCATACAGCATCATACCTGTGCAACACATAGAGATCGCCTGGTGGTAAATATTTATTAACACACACGCCACCCCTCTGATATGCCACTACACTGTAAAGTGCTTTCACCGGTAAGTATTGTACAGTGTAGCGACATAACCGAGGTTAAAGACTAGCTTTTGCCCGCGGCTCTGCCCGCGTGTATGTCGTTTATCGTGGCAAAAAGTAGTCTATGTTACTCGGTGATAATGTAGTTATCCATTGGTGAAAGATTTTTTTAAATCGGTTTAGTTGTTTAGGCGTGAAGGCGTAACAAACAAAGAAACAAACTCACGTTCACATTTAAAATATAAGTATGGATTTTACTTATATGTCACCCCTGATACTGTCGCGACAGGACGTTTTACTCCTTGAATAAAAGCGTCTGTCGGGTCTAAGCCTAATTGGGCTCCCTGATGTTCTTTATTTAAAAAGACATCTAATAATATATCCTGTGTCTTGGCGGACGAGGGAAAACATGAAACGGATACAAGAACACCAAAAATTTGTGAATCACATGTGGGGATCGAACCCACAACACTCAGCGCAGTAGGAAGCGGCGAGGTGACCGCCTAAACCAATACGCCATCTGTGCAGTCAGTGCAGTGCATTTTATTTCACTAAACATAGTGGTCAACAACTTGAACTATCATAGTATAAACTTTTCGTATCTGTAAATATATAAACTGGATCCCTGCACTTCTTCTAGACATCCTTGGATAAATTTATAACACATATCAAACGTCAACTTTACATCGTAGAGTCATCGTTTAATTTATAGATTATATTTACTTTTCGTATATCTAGATATATAAGCTGGACCCCTGTTTTGTAGACGTTCTTGCTTAAATTTATAATTCATACCCATCAATCGACAATTTCCCATCGTATTTTTGCTTAAAAGGGGTCAGAGTTTTCTTGCATTAATTAATACATTATTTATAAAATATAAGTAACGTGTTAGTTAAAGATGACAAGACGAGACCATTCCAGTGTGAATACTGGAAATAAATAAAAAAAAAAAGTCCCGAGTGGGTTCCACACGCACAGAAAAAAAAGAGAGAAATAAGACGACGGCTCGGATTGAGCGATTAAAATGTACCAGTGCTGCACGTCTAATGTGACGGCTTTGTGTGGCGGTTATTTATTTATTTACATTATAGCACTCCAACGACTTATCCATTAAGACATTTATTATTACTCAATACTAATATATATTCTGGTCCAGGGTGCATTTGCCACTTATAGGTGTTCAGATCACTTAGACTTTTTAGTACCATTTAGTTTTATAGACAAATCAGGTAACGCACACTAAAATCCAGTAAATGTAAATCATAATCATATCAATTTAAATATAAGCATATAAAATTACATTTTCTATATTACCAATAATTTCATACATCTTACACGCAACCATCTGATCTCAAACTAGGCAGAGCCTGTGCTATGTTACAAGACCGCTTGCAAAAATATTTATAGTGTTGTAATATAGATAATTCGGCACACACACACACGCACAGGTACACATACACACACAGATACACATACACACACACACACACACACGCGTACTTAGTTCGTAGAGTTATTATAGTTCTTAGTTCATATTACTTTATAATCTACTTATATTTTTGTTTCTTTTATTCCTTATCTGCTGTTAATTATACCACTCTTAAGTAGCAGTAAAATAGAAATGTAGATACTCAAATAGTAATATTACATAATCTATTGTTATCCATTGGGGGAATGGCCTGACACTCCTTCACACAGGTTATAAAGTAACCTAGTTAGAAGATCAGAACCACACGAACTATAATTGTAGCATGTAAGTAATTTGACCATGTATAAACTATATACCCATGTACAGCAGTTTTTTTAAATTGTCAATAAAAACTTTATTATTATTATTAACTAGTACATTACAAACCGCTCACGCCACGTCGCCGTCTCATCCCGTCCGCTGTCTGACTCGGCCTTTATTCGACTGAGTCATAAATATTTACTTACCCGTAGGCCATAATGTTTATTTTGACACATGATTGTGTTGGGCTATTCAGAGCATTCCAATGTGACACGATTAGAGGATCTTTGACCTGCAAAGAAATTCAATTAAATAAAAAAGGAAAAAACAGTATAAAATATTAATCGTTTCAGGGACCAAGCCATTCTCGTAATAAAACTTCGGTCAAAACTTTCGATCTACCAACTGTTCTAAAAGGTGTTTTCGCAGTAAAATAGTAAAGTATTAAGACTAGCGGATTACCGATTAAATTTTCGGTTACAACACGATATAATCACATTACAGTCAACAATTGGATATTTAATGCCTTACCACGAAAATACCTTTTATGACAGTTCTGAGATCATAAGTTGACCAGAACCGAATCGTGAGCGAACATTTATTACGAGGATTGGCCTTCTGATGGCCCAGTCATCAACTCTTCATCATGAAGTCATATCCAGCAATGCAATCGGCATTGCACTTTTGTATTTGTTGTCAAAAAAAAGGATTCGTTGCCTGAAGATAAATAAGTACTTTATACCTATTTCCAAAATAACTATTGTGTTTATGATTCTCTTAAACCGATTTCTAAATGCGATACTTTAACCACAATTTTTTTGTATACATTACATTTAAACAGCTAATTGTTAACATTATTAAAATATATTCTTCAACCTGCAGAGTATATTTTCTTAAAATTTAAATAGGATTTACCTTTGGTACAAGCAGCTAATTTCTTTTTATAATAGAAATCGCATAGAGTTTAGTTTAGACTTAGGAGCATAATGGAAACTGTAAGTTAAACAGTGCAAAGCCTGAGGACCTAGAGTCCTAATACCCTGGCAGGAACCAGCACACAGAGCAGCACCCCCTACCTCTTTCGCAATAGTGTCGAGAACATATTCACTTCGCCGCCGCATGAAGAAGTGTTGAGCTTGTTGGATGATCTGCTCCAGGAGGGACTGCTCCTTGCTCATGTCTAAGAGCTCATAACGGTCGGCGGCCATCGGTCCTGCAAATAATGTTTCATTTTAATGTTAAATTTAACTGACTAAAAACAGTTTATTTGTTTTTAACGTGACGGATTAAGAATACAGAGTGTCACCACCCCTATTCATCCCGTGGGTGTCGTAAGAGCCGACTAAGGGAGAAAACTACGCAGAACAACAGCACTGCAGAGAGAAGGAAAACTTCAAATCCTATACCAACCCGTCTGGCCAGCGTGGTATAGTCTGCCAAAACCTCCTTTCTAAGGAGAGGCCTATGGCCAGCAGTGGACTGTTAAAGGCTGTTGATGTGATGTGTGTGATGATGATGAATTTAAAAAAAAAACAGGACAACATTTTAGTCATCACGTGATGAGTAAAAAGCTAATGAAAGTTTGGGGCACTACAAATTTTAGTTGACAATCGCCGCCCACGGACACTTGTCATTTAACAGACACAAGTGCGATGTCACCCCCGGAATAGGGAAGGAGGGAGACATGGCAAAGGGTAAAATGACAAGATAAAATCTTTTGAAAAAAGTTGAACAGACTTCAAACAATACTAGCAGCCGAGCACTAAAAACCTAGTAGCAATCGCGGTTCATTTGCTGTCATTTTCTGAAGAGTTCCGTTGTCTGTCTCCGAAACTCATCATCAGCTCTATATGAAATTTAAATGGGACCAGTTCGAAATAAAGCTCTTTCGAAAAAAAAATGTTTGCTAATCCGTCTATAAATGACGGACTTATGCCCGAATATACATTAAAAAAATATAAGCATCCGATTTGATAACCTCCTCCTTTTTGAAGTCGGTTGATTATAGCATCCCTTATCCTACAAGCTATTTTTTTTAAATGAATTAGAACCTAATTGAAAAATAAAATTTAGAATTTACGAATTTATCTTTGTACATAATAAATTTTTCAACGTTTACCTGCTAAACAGCGACGCTTGGACGGACCGAGTGGTCCAGTCGCTGGATGTGGGAATGGGTGATGAGTGTTAGAGTGATGCACCGCTCGCAGCAGCTGGTGCAGCGAATGCTCTAACACATGGTCATGGTCGGACTTTCCAGATGGCCCCTCAGGCTGTAGTAAAAACAAAAAAATAAACTACTGAACAAGGATTTTTATATGGTATGGGGAGGGGGGGACTAGCAAGCGGTTCAACTAATGGTAAGCGACTACCGCTACCTATAGACATCTGCAACTATGCCGCTTTTTCAGTCGCTTCCCCCAAATTCAGTAGGAAGGGGAGGGTTTGGGCTCCATTTAAATATTTTGGACATGTAACACACAACCGGGAATCGAACTCGAGACCTCAGCTCAGCAGTCGCATACGCTACCTACTCCACCTTGGTGTAAAGCCATGAAGAACTGCTTATCACTGGTTTTCTCTGAGGCTGCGGTATCACTCCAGTCGAGCCTTTTCTTTTTTTTACGTGTGGCTATCCCCTCGGGCTGTCACACCACCGGGGTTTGCGGCTGGGTTGTGTGTCAGAATCGAACTAACTAAAACCACGCGGTGCGCCACGCCTTAGCCCATGTGTGCCGAAACATGACTCTCCAACCATCTAGGGTTAGACAGGTAGCTTTTCATTATTAGTACTAGACTAAAATGAACATACCTTGACTCCTTCTGGATTAGCATTGTTGGTATTTTGTCCATTATTGTGACACAGTCCGATCAATAGTTGAATGCCTGGCAACACCTGAAACAGATAACAATTAATTATTGTAGAAAAATAATGTAATATCATTATAAGCAATTTTGGTTTGGTTTTATCATATTTTTTACTATATAGGTTATAAAAAGCGCGTCGATAAGGCAACGTGGCAATACTTACGGTGGCCATTATCTGGTTGCCCACGACCATGTGCGGGATAGAGGCATCGAGCTGCACGGCCTCTGCGGCGAGGCGCGCGAACAGCTCCTTGCAGAACAGGACGTTCTGCGCCGCCTCCAGCTTTTGTTGCCAGTGCAACTCCGCCCCCTCGCCCGGCAGCGAGCTCGGGCAGTTCAGCGCCGCAGAGCTCAGCGTCGCCGTCACCACGTCCTCTTGCTCTGCACGGAACACGCTCTCACTTACGACTTTGGACCTCGACCTAGCTCGTGAGCCGGGTTGAACTCGTTTAAATCAGAACGGCAAGGTGGAGAATGAACTACGGAATATGTACCATTGTACAAAATGTATTATATGCTCGAGCCTTGACAAAAGACATACAATCATTGCAATATATTAAAACAATATTTAAAAAAAAGTTTTTTAACCTAAAAAAACTTCATAGCATAAGGTTAAACATCAATCGACAGAACATTAAACGAAATCTCATCTTTGTCTGATAAAATATACCTGGTTTATAGAAAAACGGTAATTATTGTTCATACCTTTGTTTATTTTATAAACACTATTATTAATCATGTCGTTTTCTTTCACTAAAACTTATATCTATTACTATCATATTACTGTAACAGCTTACAACGCCTATAAATGAAGTACCTTTTTGACAAAGCACTGATATAAATGCAACTCCCTGCAGTTCAGGCGGCACGGTGACACGTAAAGCTGATGGTACTGGCCCAGCCGCGTTCATAGCCTGTGCTATCTGTTCTTCGGGTGCCTTTGTTACCTAGAGAAAGACAGCAAAATAATATTAATATGGCGGGAATATACTCGCAGTGTTTAAGCAAACGTACAGACTGGAATGTAATATTTGAAATAATTAAAGTTTATAATAATATCTTCACGTATCTCACACACGGTCGTCTGATCCAAAACTAGACAGAGCCTATAATATGGTAACCAGACTGCTGATTAACATACTTACATGTTTTTAAATACATACATATTTTTGATAAATTACACTTAGCCGTCAGGGTCACTAACCACTATACTAACAGACCAATCAGCCACAATTTGTAAAAAAAATTGCAGAAAGTGCAGGGTGCAGAAAGAAAAACTTAAACAATGTATGCAATTCTTTTAAAAACATCCACAAAAGCTAGTAGAATACTGGACATTAATAGCTTAAGTGACCTGTGATTTCTACACAAAAACAAATTTTATCAAAATTGCAAATTAAAAAAACAGGACATTAAAAACTATTATTTGGAATAATATAATTTACCTCAAACACCCCAGTTTGACTAAATTTAGACCCAGCTGTCCTATAACTCAGATCTCCAACAATGGTATTGGATACTTTCTTCAACCTCCAGTTCTGTCTGAGCCTTAGGAGGTCTATGTGGAAATCGGGCATATTCCGGGTCATCCTCATAGTCTCACTGGCACGGAGTCGTTCCACTCCAGCTAAAAGTACAGCAGCTGCTGCACCAAGGGCTTTCTTTCTACCATACACTTGAACCATAGGTCTGTTTTCTTGCTGTTCGGGTTGTACAGGGTCCAATACCTTGAAATATATGACAATAATATCAAGACCATGGCGAATTCCTGATAGGTACCCGGTCTTAGAACATGAAATGTAAAAATAAAAAAACAAATGGTTATAGATAACTAGGCTAGACCGTGATTTAGCTTATTTATAGTCTGTAAAATTTTTATACTGTTTCTTTTTTTTTTTTTTTTTATTGCACCTCAAATTATTAATATAGTGCTATAAGTGGAGACCTGTAATTGGCTTTCAGGCAATTATTGTAATTTGTAACGTTTTGAACAATTGTAGCTGTAAGTCTTCCATGCTCTAATTAAATAAATAAATAACTAGCTGCGCCTCGCGGTGTTACCAGCGGTTCTTGTTGTACCTTGATCATCCCACGAGAACACTAAATTTGTTAGGGATAAAAAGTAGCCTATGGGCTCTTCCAGACTGTAAATCTATTTGTGTGCGAATTTCATCCAGATCCGTTAAGCCGTTTTTGCGTAAAGAGTAACAAATATACATACAAGCTTTCGCTTTTATAATATTAGTAAGATATGTTTTGTTTTGCCGGTTTTCTTTTATAACCCAATTTTCATGGTAAAAATTAATAATATTTCAGACATCGAACACACAACGCCATCTAGTTTCACACTAAGCAGAGCTTGTACTATAAAAGCTAGATTGACTGATAGAATGCTTATATACTTTTTTGTAAATACATACATATTATACATAGAAAACAGGAATCGAGCCCGAGACCTCAGAACAGCAGTCGCATACGCTACCACAGCGCCACCGAGGCAGTTCAATTTTATCAATATAAGGTTTTCTTTAGTGAAACAAAACCTTGGTACGTAATATTTTTTACAATATATTTTACTGAAGATTTTACTATTATTACTCTAAGTATAGGTATATACAAATATAATTAAAAAATCGTAGCTGTTTTAAAATTGTGTAGTCAATTGACATGTTACAAGATGTTGAAGATTTTTTTTTCATTTTTCACAAACATTTTAGTCAAAAATTAATCATCACTCCTAAATGGTGGAGTAGCATTTCAATTCCAGGCTGTATAGGAAGTTCTGAGTGAGTTTAAAAGCTTTTTTTTTGATTTGTGACCAGTTGTTTTTTAAAAACTACCTTCATTTTACAAATGTTTGTACTCTACTGCTACTAATTATTTGACCTGCAGAATAACTATTTAAGGAATTTCTTTTGAAAAAACACTGTTATTTATTCAACATTCTAACCTCCAAAAAGAAATATTTTTTTAGTTTAGGGTAGTTTTATTTTTAAGTTGGACCCCGCCCATGGACGCTTGTAAAAAATCCACAAGCAAATGGGCCTTTGAGGTGAGAGAAGTCTTTTCTTGAAGGTTTGAAGATCATATTGGTTCAGGAATGATCATCAACATAGAAATTTTGGCAGCTGATGCTTTCTATGTTGTAAGTAAAATTTTAAAGGATGTCATTTTTAAGGAAGGAAAATTTAAGGATTTTTTAAAATTTCACCTCAAGGTAAAATAGTAAGATCAGTATGGAAGTTCGTCATTTTAGAAACACATAAAAAATAAATAACGGGAGCAAAACTGCCGGGAATAGCCAGTATCCTGTTATTATAATTAAGTACTTCCTTATTGAAAATAATGAAGTACTTCCTTATGAAAAACTACTATGTTTTAAAATAAAATTTTAAAATAAGTCAATATTGTTGTTATAAGTCTACATCTAAGTAAGGAGAGATACATAATTATCTTATATTTATGGAACTAAGAACTTTACATTTTTAACTAAATCAATTAAGTAATCAATAATATTCTGTTATTCTTTGCAGCTGATTCTTTGAACTCAAAAATTAGAAATAATAAATGAATTTCAATAAAAATTAAAGACAAATTGAACAATTAATCTACAGATAATACAAAGTACTACCAAACTTGGAATGTATTTAGGCGAACCATAGATAATCTTAAGAATAAGGTGACAACAAATAGTAGTTATTTAGGTAAGTTTACCCTTAAATATCTGATCACAGCATTCTATAATTACTGTTATGGGCTCATATTAAGGCCAGTAGTAAGTTTAAATGTAGACTGCTCTATTTATACTGTCTATTTAATGTTTTGTTTTGTAGACATTTGGACTCTGGACCTAGCAAGTTGAAATTTATACAGGATACTGACGTCTATAGTCCCAATTAGGTGTATAAAAATCAAGGTCCTGAGTCATCATCAACAGCCTTTGCTGTTGTTCTGCGTATTTTTCCTTTAGTAGGCTCTTACGACACCCACAAGATGAATAGGGGTGGTGACATTCTGTATTCTTAATCCTTCACTACACAGACCACCTGTACCAATAAAGTTCTTAATTTGTCGGTTATTTTTTTATGTAGGTAGGTACAGAGCCCACTGCGCAGGAGCTCGCCTTGCACTTGACCTTTTTTTTTTATTTAGGACAACTTATAAAACATACATTAATACAGAGTTTGCGATCATATTTTACATTTGTGAGCCGAGTATTGTTTAACTTATTTTTTTTTTATGGGGCAACCGAGTAGAACGGTCATCTGATGGAAAGTGACTAGTGAATGAACGGCTGCAACTCCGGAGTCACATGCGCATGTAATTATGCTTGCACACTTCACACAATGTGATGTTGCTCACACTTTTTAAGATACCAATACAATACAGAAAATCTCATCTTGATGTGAACTAGCCTTTAGTATATCTATATGGGTGGATTACCACAAACAAATTTAAGACTTTTTTAACCAAAAAAGAAAAAATAATAGAGAAAGCTAGAAGACAGCTATGCTCCTTTTCTTTGTGTCATTTTCTTTGAAGCATAATATGTTACATATACAGTTATTACAGTACTTACCATATATCTTTTTTCCTTGGCAATACTTAGGACATCTGCCAAGACACACACTTCTGTGAGCGCATTTCTTAATTTATTTCTTACAGAGTCCCATGGCCATAAACTACTCTGATAACCTGGTTCTTTTTCATCTTCAGACTTGGTGTCGGAGCTGCACTCACCCTCCTTTTTGATGTTGCAAAATTCATCATCAGTCTTTGAGAAGTCAATCTTTTGAGCTAGACGAGCCAAATTCTCTGACATAGACAGAGGTCTGAAAATAAATTGTAAATTGATTCAGGACCTTAATATTAGAACTTTATTTTTCAAATACCATTAAACAACAGGTATAACATTATTTATATGGTATTTATTTAGGTACAATAATTAAATCAAAGCTTACGCTTGGTAAATCTCTTGGCCATCATATGTTATTTCCTGAATCTGGTTTTCTATTGGAGCCTCTATTGATATGTTTACAGAATTCGCCATTTCTTTACTCATTTATCTTAATAATCTACATAACATTGTACATTAACAACTTTTGAATCTTTCACATTTAATGTTTCAGCAAGGAACACATATGGAAGTACCAATTAGTTTGAATGACACCTAAATAAAAAATATTATTTATTAATTATAATTTACGTATTTATTGTTAGTAAACAATTACTCGTAGAAAAATTAAACAAATAACGCGAGATAACACCTCAAAATCTAATGTTATTTTTACCATTTGATTAAGATGACAATGAATCTGAGTTGCCATTTTTAAAACTCGTTGACCACCTAGTACGCAAAAAATGTGTTAATTACAATGCATTTCATCTACACCACATATGTAAATTCGTAAACAGCATGCTTATGAGAATGTCCAAATTGATTCATACCGATTATAAAATATCAATATCCCAAAAATCACTAAATAAAAATCAGATTTGAATTATAAATGTTATTTGAACTGCAATGCTAAATTAAAAAATATGTTTTAATTTTTTATGATTAATAGAGCAAAATCTTAAAAAAAATTGATGTAAAATTTCCCCAAACAATTTTGTGGCTAGATTCTTATAAATGAACAAAACGTGATTTTTATTTGACATCCTTGGCAAGTTTTAAGGAAGTGTAACATATTTTGTCGATTTTGAAAAATAAATCATTTTTTTTTAAACATTGAAACAAATTAAAATCTATTTGAACAAACAGAAACTGTTCCATGTGGTTATCCATAACTTAGTTCTATTAAGTTCATGTTCGCCTCTGTTATACACTGTTTTCAAAAGCCCAAAAAAGTTATTGCGTTGTACGTCATTTCTTATAGCGTAATGCTATAAGAAATGACTGAAATGAATGAAATTCTTATAGCATTACATTAATGCCATTTTTTACCAAAAAATTACAGAGAATCAAATTCTCTAGAATTTTTGAAACAAACTTTTGTTTAAATATTTAATTTAGTGGTCGGATCGGTCGAATAGTAGGGCAAACGAGTCAATTCGCCTGCAACTCAGGAGTCACGCTAGTACGCTCTTTTCTTGAAGGTTTGTAGGTTGTATCGGTCCGGAAATACTATAGCCGAAAACTTGTTTTACAGGTTGTAGTAGTAGTGTAAGGCAAGGCAAAAAGTGTCTACCTATTAACAGCATAATGCATAGTCAGCCGTGGGTCCCTGTAAATAATATGTTAGCTAGAGTCTTTGAATTTATACTAAATACCTTAATAAGTTAGTTGACCAGTTTTTTTTTATTTATCGAGTATACATATTTGTATAATATTACATTAGATGGGTAATCTAATTGTGTAAGGTGATTAAAAGTTATTCTTGTTCTAATATTAAACTTCTACACACTAATTTATTAATATTTGTAGAATAACTAGTGATACAATATTAACAGCCGCAGTGGGACACTTAATATGTAATTTGACAAAACAGATATTTTTTCTATTGTGTGTGTTGATCTATGACTTTATAGTCTTCATAAAATACGATTTCAAATAATTTATATTTTGTTTCTGAAATAAAGATATTTTGACTTTGACTAATTAAAAAACGCCCCTTTAGACCCGAAACTTGTTTGTGCAAAGGGGCGTCCATGAAAGACACCTGCGAGTAAGGACATAAATCTTTATTGAGTATGATTAATTGTTTTTGTGTTTGTCTCGTCCCAGATATATTTTTACAAAAGGTAATAGATGTCTTATACTCTACTAGCTGACCCTGCAAACGTTGTTTTGCTATTTACATTATTTATTTATTTTTTGATTTCGTAAAATCCGTTCTTGGCCGATCTCTACTCAGTGAAAAGAATACTCCTACCAAATTTTAAGTCTTTAGCTCTAATGGTGCCAGAGATATCGTGATGAGTGACTATATATGTGGAAATCTCTTATATATATATATAGATAAGCAAAAATCGAATGTGTGTAAATGCATTTTAAGTAATATCCTTAATTTTCATTTACCACACCAATTGTTTGTTTAAACATTTTTTTAAATTAACGAGTTTGGTTTACAAATCAAACCAAGCATACACTTTTGGACAACACTACCTGCTTGTACATCAACGCCCCAACCAATGGTTATCGTGTAACTTGCTATCGACGTATTCCTTGAAGAAACTACGCTCACTGAACACGAATTATACTCGAAACGTGTTTCCGCCAGTGAATCTTTGTTTATGTTAAAATATTTTATTATTAAAATAAAGGCATAGTTACGGCAGCTTAGGGTTATTTATTTAGCAGTCATGGCAGATCGTGTGATAGCGGTAAGTAGTCATAGTTCTTGGTGTAGTGTATTATAATTTCTAACAAATTATCTCCAAACACGGTAACTCGAATGGTAGTATACCATTTCGTGTTTTACTTCTATTCTTTATCTCTACTCATTGCTTTGTCGCTGCTGATGAGGTGAGGTGATAGTTGATCGAAATTAGATAATTACCAAGGCAATGCAAACGGTTGGAAACGGTTTAATGATGAATATTTATGTACACTTACTTAATAGAGCAGTGGACGCAAATATCAGTGACGAAATTAATTCATGAATTCAAAATAAATGATTATTGTTGTGTCTGTGTGTGTTGATATTCAAATGAGTTACTTGTCACAGTTTTAATAAATCACTCAAAGAAATTGTATCATAATTTGAAAATGTATTTTAGTATCTCACATAACTTTTTCGGAACAGGTAAATCAAGGTCTCAACATTTTTACAACCTACGACTACTAACTACCTAGTACTTTTTACAAAAAAAATAAAATAAAAAAATCGGACTTGTTTGGGTGGAAACATTTACTTATTTACTTATATGTTCTTTGTTTCTCTGCAGTCCCGTCCAAGTCTGGAGCAGGTGACCGCAATAGTTGATTTTATGGAAAAACATCCAGCCCTGGCGCTAGGTCAGTTGCGAGGTTTGGAAGGCAGGGATAAGAGTAAGAGGCTGTGGTCCACTTTGACCAGGATAGTTAATAATATAACAGGTCCCACAAGACCTATGAAGTCTTGGATCAAAGTAAGTGTAGTGCAAAATTATATTTCACAGAAAGTATGATTTTTTATTCCTTGAAATATCTATGCTCATTTGTGTAAATCTGTCTATATTCACATAAAAATGTTAAGTTGGTTTGTGTATGCTTCAAACACTAAAGATTTCTGCACCGATTGAGCTCAAATTTTGACATGATATACAATCCGCTTCAAAGATTCTTTGTCAATTTTGTTTCTCATATCTCTTTAGCGCAACAACAATGGTCCACAGCAAAGCTAGCTAGGACAATACAGCTAGTTTGAGATAAAATTAAATTAACCTTTATGAACAGTTTTTGTGAACTTTGTTAATATCAATATTTTTAACAAATTAATTCTTGGATATATATTTATTTACTTGTGTTTTCTAACCCCTTTTTATTTTAGCAAATAAATAAACAAGGGAAAGAATTTTTATTAAACACACCTTATTAATGAGAAAAATCTGCATCTATTTTAAATAAATAAATAAAAAATAATAATAGAATGTTAATTCTTTTGTTCTGTTTAATAAATGTATTAAATAAGTTTGTATAACCCAATAGTCATTTACAAAATACTCGGAAAACTCTGATGTTCAAATTGCAACTCCCTACCTCATTCCTATACTCCTTCTCTATCCAGTGGTTGCCTGGAAGTGATCACAAATTGCGATAAAACACCAATTGTACAACTTTTAATATTTTACTCTCTATGTTTCATTTATATAACTTAAGAATATGAGACTTACACCAATTTATACAAACAGTATTTTTACTATGTTTTTATTGTACAATAAAGAGTTATTGTCTACCTATCTTAAAAAAAAAATCTCTTTAATTTTTTTTAAAGACAGCTTCAGCTAGAGTTGTGTAGCTCCTGAATGAGTGATATAAAAGATATATATCATTCACGACGATAAAATGTATCACTCACTCCCACTAGCTCCGAATATATCAGTAACTCAGTACTAGCTCACTAGATCATTAGATCACTAGCTCAACGACGCCGATCTTTGTTTCATGAGCGAGTGAGACTAAAGATAAATGAGTGAGATAGATGATGGTTGAGTTCACGCAAGTTTCTTTATGCAAAATGTACATTATTTCTATAGGATCAAAGTTTAATATTACTTAAGAATTAAGCCTGCCAAGTACAAGGAAAATCAAATTATGTATGGATTCTATTATACAACCTAAAAAAAGTACAAGAAATAATTTCTTTTTTTAAATATTGTATAAAAGGGTGTTAATAATTATGTAATCTTATCAAAATGAATAAATTTTATTTAAAAAAAAAAGGTTAAGAATGTAGTTTCAAAAACTGAATTTAGGTTAATATGAAAATAAAGAAAGGTTTGTATGGCGAGAGAGGCTTAAAGTGGCTTAAAGGCTTAGATGAAGAAATAAATTAATTGAGAGACCAATCAATTGAATCGGATCAATGAGCTAGTGAGCTAAATGAGTTGGTGAGCTAAATGAGTTGGTGAGCTAAATGAGTTAGTGAGCTAAATGAGCTAGTGAGCTAGATGAGTGATATATATCTTTTGAGCGAAATGATATGTATCAATCTTTTCAGCTCAGTGATACATTTTGCGCATCACTAGCTTCAGCACTAGTAATATATCTTGTGTCGTGGGGGACTTTACAAACAGATTAAACGGACACAAAAACACCTAGACTCAAAACAATAATTTGTGAATCATACAAAGTGTTGTCCCATGAGGGGATCAGACCCACAACACTCAGCACAGTAGGAAGCGGCGAGGTGACCGCTTAAACCACTATGCCATCCGTGCAGTCAATATAAAATGAATTAATTTATTTTTCCAGTATTGGGCTGATAAGAAGTCTACTGTAAGGTCCAAAGTGGTAAGCGGTGGAGGCGATCCAAATAATTTGTGCTCTAACATTGAAAAGAAGATATATGACCTGTTTATTGCTAATGATAGTGGCAGTAAGTATGAATATTTTTTCAACTCTACTTCGTTACTACTACTAGGGCTAGAGGTTAATTTTCTAGGCCAGTTTAAAGAAGCATTCTGACATTTACCACAACATCTTAGAAAGCAAAGAGTAAACATGTTGTCCCTGGTATCTTAAACTATCTAATTTATTTTCAACTAATGTATATCATACTTATAATAGATGAACATGTAATAATATTATATTTTATCCTCATCCTTAGAACCTAGAAGTGGAATGAAACAAGAAACAACTTTTGTTGAAGAAACTTTTTATAACGAAGACAGCATGGATCAAAATCATGTCGAATCTGAACCGGTGCTAGCATTCGAGGAGCCGGTAGTTGATGTGGAAGACAGGCAGATTGCTATTATGGAAAAACTCGTAAGTTCAACGAACCTATATCTGTTGATGTAGTTATTAGTGTAGGTTTTTTTTTTTAATTACAAATTGTGATATTGAATATAATGTTCGAAATTTAAAATAGCTCCTGATGCATCTTTAATATGACGAAAACATTTATTGGCATGAAAACTATAATAGACACACTATAACATACATAACAGATATAAATACAGAATGTATGTCAGTTACATATTTTTTCAGTGGATGCATGAAAGCAAATCTAATATATAAAATTCTCGTGTCCCGGTGTGCGTGGTTGAACTCTTCCGAAACGGCTAGACCGATTTTCGTGAAATTTTGTGTGCATATCGGGTACGTCTGAGAATCGGCCAACATCTATTTTTCATACCCCTAATTTTTCGTTTTTTTTTGGCAAAAAAAATTGAAATAATGTATATGGCAAAACGTTTTCCAGGTCAGCTAGTCCAGGTATAAAAATGAGTACATACTTTTAGAAACTTTAGAATGTTATTTTTATTATTATTTTATATATTCCAGGTGAAAGTAATGAACGACCAAGCAGCGGCCTTATCTCAGCTAGCGCACGCATCACAAGTCAACGCTCAGGCTATGGAACGTCTAGCAGAAGCTTCACAGATACAGGTCACTTTCCGTTGTTTATTAAATGCTAGCTTCTGCCTTCAGCTCTGCCTACGTGCATGTTATTGGCTAATTTTTACCACGCCTCAAGAATCAATCTATCTCCATACCAAATTTAATCAAAATTAGTTCAGCTGTTATTGATTTTCTATACAAATTTCCACCCCCTGATTTCTGGAATAACAACTATCCTATGTCAAGTGTGTCTGTCTGTCTGTCTCTTACCTCTTTAAAACCGCTGAATCAGTGAAAACTGGACACAAACACTATACCAACCCTTAGAACGGAGGTTTTGGCCTACTATACCACGCTGGCGTCAGGCCAGAGTGGTATAGTAGGCCAAAACCTCCGTTCTCTGGACTATAAAAGGCTGTTGATGTGATGTATTATGTGATCCTAACATACCTCATTAGTTTCTTCAACTGTCAAAGCGTAACCTGTAACCTGCTCTTATTTCAAAAGTTCTTAAATCGGTCGATTAAAGAACTTTTTCTTATAATATACGTATTATTTATTTGTAGGCCAGAGCAATAGACCGTCTTGCGACAACGTTCGAAGCAATAAGTGCTACTACACACGACGTCCGGACGGCTATCGTTGACATCGACGTCACTATGAAGAGGTTTTATTCCACGTCGCCCACTTAGCACAGGTACATGTGAGCTGATGAGGCTCGCCAGTGCATCATTGTGAACATTATAATGTGATTCCAAGTGTATACTGATAGTGTCATATCTGTAGAAATGGTATTGGATTGTACATGAATTAGTTAATTGTATGCAAGGTTTACTTTTATATGAGACATAAAACAGATCTAGTAGCAATGTATTTTTAATCATGCTTTAAATAATTAACTGTATTAATTTAGACCATATCTTCACACATATTTTTATCTGAAAACGGTGATGCATCGATCCAACCAAGTTCTAGTTTTCGTACGAAACGATAATTTCTTGGTACTTATTGGTCAGGGGGCGGGGCTTGATCGATGCGTCACTATTTTCTTATAGCGAATGGACCATAGCGGCTACGACTAACTGACTCATGAGTACAATGAACAAGTCGAGACAAGTGTCCAAACACTAGCACAGGAGTGAGCACGAACAAGTCGAGCGAGGGCAGTAGGATGTTTGGATAAGGGTTCGTTCGGTTGTTCGACGTTCGGATAAACGACGCTCCACTCAATTTAGCCCACTATTTGAATTGGCTAGAACATAAAAAGCTTCAGCTGTCAAAATTTCAAGTTTGTAGCCCCAGCAGTTTAGTTAATCAGTGAGGGCAAATAATTTTATATGTATAGGTCTAGAATATGTCCACACTGAATCGCGGCGGGCATTATCGGGGCTTATCTCATCGAACGTCAGAAACAGTAACAACCTAATTGCCTCCACGACACTGGATTTTTTTTCGGGGACATTCGATTAGTTCTGCTACTCGATAATTAATACATGGCGCCAGGAGTCTCAATTGCTCGATCGCGAAATTCGAGAACGTGATTTAAGTCCTCCATTACTTGAATTTATTAATAAAATAAAAGTAAATTAATTATGTAAATAATATACTTATTGTAGCATGTATCTGATACTGATCATAGCGTTTTAGCTACGTTGCAGTAATTATGATTAAGCTTATGTAGATATTTATATTTTACAGTAACTTATCAAAAGTTTGTAGTAATTACTTACTTAATAAATACATTTAGTACATTCTGTAATCTTATCTGATTTTTATTGTTGTTTATATTCCTTCCTTTGTCTAAAAATTATATTACAAGATGTCAAGATGATATTTACAACCGTGGGGAAAGCCATGCTTCGGCACGAATGGGCCGGCTCAACCGGAGTGATTACCACGGCCTCACAGCAAACCGGTGTTAAGCAATTCTTTCATTGCCTTTCACTGAGTGAGTGAGGTCACCGGAGCCCAAACCCCTCCTCCCGCTGACTAGAGCGGAAAGGACTTCAAAGACTTCACTCTTTTGAGTTTAGCTAGTGTTTGTCCATGGGCGGCGGTAGTTGCTTACCATCAGGTAACCCGTCTGATCGTTTACCCCATTATACCATAAAAAAACGCGCTAATTATAGTACTAAATATAAATAAATGTATGTTAGGTTGTTTTAAGAATTAAAGAATCTATCATGTTAATTTCCAATATTGATCATGTGATCTTAAAAGGTACTTTAAATTATCATATATGGATTTTACTCCTGAAAATGGAAATTTAACTGATTGTGCTCGTTGAATTCGCGGGATGAAGACGCTTCATAATACAACAAGAAACTCTGCAGTTGCTGAAGATGTAATCTCTTTGTTACTGACGTACCTTACTGACGCCTTAAAATATAATTTGGCTTTGAACAATATAATCGGAATAACACTTAAGTGTAGTCCATTTCAATGTCGTTTAGTAAGTCTAATTTATTATCTAAAATATCTTAGTATCCTGGTGAAATTGGGATTTCTTCGTACTCTGGTTTGGTTGTCATTTGGTATCATGCCTTCTGCACCCATGGAATATGGGGAGTCCGCCTTTGTGTTGAGATAGAAGTTACCCTTGGCACTGTAAAAAAATGATTGTTTTAAGTTATTGGAATAGTAAAGTGAAAGATGTCCGTTTGGATTGAGGAGCCACTTTTCATATCTTAATGAATTAATAATTATTATTTAGTAGTAAATAAAAAATAAATTGTAGCCTCCGTCCTCGAGTTTGTAGAGAATTATTTTAAAGTTATGTAAATATAAAGGTGAGTCCTCAATCTAAATGTTTAGATTGAAGAGGAAGTAAGAACTAGGAACATCATGGATGTATATATATCATAATTTAATATGATTTTGTAGTATTTGAAAGTAGTTAGTAGACAAAATCTGGGCTCGGTAATGTTAGAATTAAAAAAGTTACCATACATTATACATGTGGCTCCTCATACCATACACACGACTATTAGTTTTCAAAGAAGCAGTCTTTCAAATGATGCGCAATTTCTTCATTATTTAGTACTTAGTTAATATATTAAATTTGTAGTGCTAAGAGTCAGTTATTAAAAATGAGTAAATTGGGAGAAATGGCACATTTTAACTGGCTCCTCAGTTAAGATGCTTCGGTAAATAGATTTGACTCTAATATAGTTATACTTGTGACGAAATTTGGAACATAAAACATCTACATTTTGTATGAATTGATACTTAATTTTTTTGTAGGGTATGAATAACTTATATAAAAGGCATTTTTCATTCTGTTTCGTTTACAAATCTATTTTTTTATCTAAATATTTGGAGATACAGAGGATAATACAGAGTATACCCCTATTCATCCCGTGAGTGTCGTAAGAGCCGACTAAGGGAGAAAATTACGCAGGACAACAGCACTGCAAAGAGAAGGAAAACTTAAAACAAATCCTATATTAACCCGCCTGGCCAGCGTGGTATAGTAGGCCAAAACCTCCATTGTATGGGGAGGCCTATAAACAGCAGTGGACTGTTAATGGCTGTTGATAATGAGAAGTATACCTACTTAAAAATATTTCCAGATTCGGTACTGCTGTTTTAATTTGATAAACTTTTCACAAACACGATTGTGTGTTTGATTGCACGTATTGAACTTAGTTGAGTACCTATGTGTTTAACAACTTCCTGGTTTAAAGTACACAGGTACACTTGAGTCTAATTGGGACATTTAGTTTTGAAACAGCAAAAACTATTTCTATACAAGACAAGATCTTTTTACTTCACGAATGAATAGACGAAGGTCAATACACTCGACACTAATGCAAGAATAATAAGTTATTTAAAGGTACAAAACATTGTACTCATAAATCATCGTAAAAACCGATCAATTCATAATAGAGTCCAAATTAGGGGTTTTTGTCTACTCTGAAGGTGTATTTTATTAATGAGTACATAGCGTTAACAAAAACCCTCTTGTTTTAAAATAAACACGTGGATAGAGCTTAAACCTTTTTAGGGTTACGTTCGTCAAAAATAAAAATAAAACCTTTATAATGTTATAATTAACTTTAAAAAAATTATCGCCGTATCTCATACGCCAACATCATGAATTATAATAAACTGTATATATACATTAATTTAGCGTATATACAATTATAATTTTCATTCCTCAATTTTCTAACCTTAGGGGTGGTACTTAAAATTTGAATGAAACCAAAAAATATATAAGGTGGGTGGACCATGGAAGGCCACGCTCCTTTGAAGGCCAACTATTAAAAAGTCGTAGTTATTGACATGTAAGGACATATTCCTTCTACTACACACTACAATCCATCAAACTGAAGGCCACAGACGCGGCTGCGAGTCGCTCGCGCCACTATTGTGGCAGTGCGATCTCACACTTCATAGACTTCGGTCGTCGACGTTACAATTGTTATTCGCGCGCAAAGCAAAACGTAAGTTTTTAGTTAAATAACCTATTGTTTCTTTATATTTTTTACTGTGAATTGTCGTGTAAGGATATTTTTATGGAACTCAAGAAAAAAAAAAGAAGTTGCCTCGATTTAAGTGAAAATATTGGGAGTGTTCCTAGGAAAGCCGGTGGTTCCTTATAAGGCCAATCAAAAAATTGAGGGTTGGCCTTGCTAGGGAACATGGGCCTTACATCTATAAACCATGAACATATGAACACTTATTATGTGGTTATAAATACGTACCGTTAAAGTTAAAACAACGTTTTATATTTATAATTTTTTTTAAGGGTTTTCTAACTTTTAAACTCAGACTGAATAGACATTTTTTTCAAAATTATTTTATTTTCAGTATTTATATTTAAATTTATTTTATGTCTATGAAGAGGGTATGTCTGGAAATAAACTAAACTAATTTACATGAAAAGCTACGAATATAAAAATATTTGCTTGATAAAAGCGGTAAAGTAAGTATGAGATAAGTTAAAAATTGTATATCTAAGATAAGTAGTCTGTCTAAAACTATAATTAAAGCAAAAAAAATTATATCAATAAGTTGGTAATTGAACAGATGATTAAAATTTATACGTATTATTTCAGATTTCAAGAATGTCACAGTCAAAACCTAGAAAAAGAGGTAGTACATAGAACGAAGATAGTTTAAGATTTTAAACATTCCTGACTACAAGACTGACTATGTGCCATGATAAGTTTGTAATAATAACAGTACGTCTGTAGTGTCTATTATTTGATTATAATTAATATAAAAAAGTCATATATTGTTAGTTTGGCCTTCTTAGGAACATTGTGGCCTTACAAAGAACGGAGCCTTAAGAAGGCCACATAAGGTAAAAAAAAAAGATTTTAATTTGATTATAAAACGCGTTGGCAAGTTATTTTATATCAATATAATATTTATTACTACTAGTTTGAAATAATTTCCATTAATATATTCTTAGTTATAAGATGGTGTTCAAGTTATGTTCATTGTGCTTTTTATAGATAATAAAAATATATTGTGCATTTAATGTTTCGCTTAAATGAAAGAGTTTATTATGTACTTTTAGTAAAAGCGGATATATTAATTGTTACAACTCTATTTATAAGTTGAACGACTGAATTATAATATTGGCCTTGTTTGGAGCCCTGTTCCTTGCAAGGCCATTTGGAAGAGCTTAATAAAACTTAAGTTTAATAAATAGTTATTAAAGCTAGGTAAAAAAAAAGTGATTTCTATGGTACACAATAAACCAAAGTATGCCTTAACTATTTGTTTCCTTCATTTATCCAGTAAATATACGAATAAAAAGTGTTTATTCTTTAGAGTGGCCTTCCATGGTCCACCCACCTTATTACAAATTGGTTCGTAATGAAGGACTTCTGAAGTAATAAACATAAAAAATACTACCAAATGAGAACTTTGTTTTTTGATGTCGTTCATTAATCACGGGTAATAAGTTACTCACGAAGAAAACCCAATTGAACTTACAATATTGAATGCAAGGTGCAGAACGAAACCAAGCGCGAAATACAACACTGATCGCGATGGAGGTTACCGTGAGCGCATTCTGCCCCACCCAAGATACATAGGATATTGTCAACTTGAGATACTTCCCTTATTTTTGTCTTCCATTCTCACATTCTACAGCTAAAGTCCGTTTATATAATACGAGTATATGCTACGAAATAAATTAATAAAGCAATGTATTACCGCATGCTGGTCAGGTCTCCAAGGTATATTTTCTGTTCAACATCACCATTCCCAGCGATCCATTCTTCGTAGCTCTCAGCAGCTGCACACGGGAAGGATGTCGGCGCTCCAAGAGCTTCTACGAAGAAGTGCCATGAACGGTCGTGATTGCACAAATCTGAAATTATATTAATAGTTATTGGGGATAAACTAGTGGCAAGAAGACAGTACTCTAAGTAGTGAACAACAGCTGTTCTGGCTTGGTAGTTGACTGTTGAGAGAATACGGATTGCCCGAATCGGATTAGGATTGGTTAATATTCATTACTTCTTAAAATTTTATTCACCATAAAATGCCCATATATTTAAATACTACAAACCAATATAAATAATGATAAATGCACAATCACCAGATCATATATAAACAATTATAGTAATCTAATTATTGAGAAATCAAGGAAATCAATAAGTATAATGCCTGGAAATGAATAAATAAAATTTGCCTGCCTCTTTACCCTGGTTCCTTTAGGGTCGGTACTATAATTATGTACTTTTGCAATGGGCTGGTTGGTCTTTTGGCGATTTTTCTTACGAAAGAAGCGTAACTTCTTTCGTAAGAAAAATCGCCAAATCGTCTTTATGTTCTTGATACTATTTGAACAGGCGGGTAGGTAAATATTTCCTCCAATTTTGTTCACTTCAAAAATGAAATCATTTGTTTTCTCGTACAAGGTCGATGCGAGAACATGGTCATGAGTTAACTAGTTTATCAAAATATCGTCTGTAATATACGGGCACATAGTGGTATTTTTTAATATAATTTACATTCCATACATTACATACCATCTCTTTGCCTTTGTGCTTTAATAGTTGGTGTTATTGATTTGTGAGTGAAATTCTATCGTTGTATTTATGTCAGTATTCTAAGCATGCAAAGTGTTTAGAACCTGATCAGAAGGTTTCTTGGTTTAATGGTTAGTGATTCTGATTGCGGAGACAGGGCGTAGGTTTGGTCAGGGTGGGTTCAGGAAAAATTGTATAAGTACGATCTTTTATTCTGTGTGGGTGTAACTTAGCTTTAACTTGTAATTAGTCATATGTAAGTATGTTTGTGAGCAGTCAGTTTACCATCGTACTGGTACTGCCAAGCTTGGAATCAGATGGTCTAGTGTGAGGTCTCAACTTGTAATTATAAATGTACAAGCCTGAGGCTGCGCTCGCGTGTGTGTCATTTATAGCGGTAAAAAGTAGCCTATGTCCTTCCTCAAGAATCTATATACCATATTTCAGGCTGGATCCCCTTAAAGGATGATTTCTTGGATAAAAACTATGCTTATGTTCTTTATTGCTTTATTTCGCTATTCAAATTTCATCTTAATTGGTTCAGCGGTTGAAGGTTTGAGAGGTAATAGACAGAAATACAGATAGGCAGACAGACAGAAATACACACTTTCGCATTTCTAATATTCGTATGTATGTATATGAGAGTCAGCCTGTCACTACAACCAGTGCAACCAGGTCGAAATGTCAGGTAATTCAAAGGTTTGTAATACCCATTTGATAATCGCTGTGGCGACTTCCACATACAAAGAAACAGAAACATACTACAGCGGCATCTAACATCGCACTACGGAGTAATTCCTGAATGAGAATTGCTAATCCTGTATCGCGATATGAAGAATTCTCTTGCCGATTAGCATATATATAACTTCCCAACATTAACGGTTGGGGCGCGGCCCGCCAGGCATCACCTCGCCTGGTTGGAGGATCCTCCCTTTGTGTTGGAGGGACATGACACCCGTTCCTCCACAATTGCGTTAATTTCAGTCCAAATACATTTTAAAAAATATTTAATAAAAACTTCTATTGATTGTTTGAAAACACCTTCCTTCAACTAAGTATTGTTACACAACTTATTCAAATGTTTGATATCTTACCACCTTACCTTCCTGTTTTAACATATGAATCTTGCCGTGCGGACAGCCAGGTTGAGTGACACCGTTTCTAGAGTAGTTAGGCCAGATGTCCACAGTGCCAGCCGCAGAACTAATACCGTAGCCGCCAGGATCTGAATGCACGATATCCACCAATCTGGCACAAGTGCGGTCCAGACCGCTATATACAGCGAGAACTCCTTCGAAAAGTGCACGAGCGGGGTCAAGACCTGTAATTCTGTGAAAAAATTGTTCGATAATTTAATATATGCTGATTCTATATTGCGTACTTAGCATGTTTTTTCTGCTGTAATCAAATTTGATGTATTTATTATACTCGAGATATGCTTTTAATTATATATTATATTATAATTATAATCGACATACAAGAAAAAAGAATTACACCAATCAAGTTCAATTTAGATTTGAGAAACAGACAAATTAACACGTAATGCTTTGGTTTGTGTGCCGAGTTCATGACAGGATTTAGCTTTAATAATACTACTTGTTGTTGGACTTAGCCACCAAGGATATTGCTCAGTCATCGTCACCTTTCAGGTTTAACCCAATGATTAGAAAAGAGATCTCTTTTATCAAGGTAGCAAGAAGTGATAACAATAAATTTTATATGAATAAATGAACGAATAGATAAAAATCTTATTAAGGGATCAGATTTCCTAAAATATAGCTCATTCGAGTTACATGTATACAGTACGGATGGCGTGGTGGTTTAAACGGTTACCTACTTGACGCTTCCTACTTGAGTATTGTGGATTCGATCCCCACATGGGACAACACTTTGTGTGATCCATAAATTGTTGTTCTGAGCCTGGGTGTTATTTGTGTTTGTTTCATGAATGTTTGTGAAGGGTCCCGCGACACAGGATATATTTCTAGTGCGGGAGTTGTCTTTTTAAAAAAAAAAAGAAAAAAGAATGTTTACAATCCTGACTAGTTCAAGGTTTTGCTTCACTCCCCAATCTATCCGTAACAGCAATATTCCTTCCTATTATTCTCTTACCTTCCTATCTATCATCCCATTCAACATAATTCTAATTTTCCCATTTAATCCTTAAAGTGCATAATTGAGGGCATGTTGGCTTGCGCCAATTACGTAAGTTTGACTAATATTATAATTGGCAAAATCCCGTAACGATATAGACCTCAATGTTTGACAAAATCTGACTATGGTTAATATTTTGACATGGTTTTGATTAATGACTTCTAAAAAACTCTACTGGCACAAAGTTCTTGTCTCTGGTTCGTGAAAAATGCTAATTAGGTATCCATGTACGTGATTTGAAAATGGAACCTACATTATAATTAAAAACGTATCAACGAATAAGATTATAAATAGCTCGTAGGCCTATCAGGAAAATGATCGACTATTTTGTTGAAGACCTTATTGCTGTCGTCAAGGTTGAAGCACGGATAGCCTACTAATAAGCCAAGAATGCGTAATACTCGTAGAATGCAAATGAGTTTGTCATAATTGTTTATTAACTTTCTTTGAGCTATTTAGACCTATTTCATTTAAATAAAATATGATGAGTTAGTTGACTCGACTCGTAAAATGTCAGGGTAAGCAGATTCGATTCTCGCTCAGTGCTATTGTTCTTTTTTTTTTTATAAAAAAAAGACAACTCCTGCATTAGGAATATATCCTGTCTCGCGGGGGACTTTACAAACATACATGAAACGGACACAGAGTAGAGAACACCCAGACTCAGAACAACAATTCGTGGATCACACAAAGTGTCGTCCCGTGTGGGGATCCACAACACTCAGCGTAGTAGTAAACAGCGTGGTGACCGCTTAAACAACTACGCCAAACGTGCAGTCGAAGTTATTTATTATTATTCACAAAAAAATACATAAGTTAGTTTCACCGTCTTCTAGCCTTAGATAGTTCAGAACACTAGACGGTTTCCTTACCTCGTGATAACGTTGCCATACTCTCTGACGCGTTTTCCAGCAAAACCCATGATATGCGCTCCTAGAGAATGTCCAATAAGATGGATGTCCGTCAAGTTCACTCCGGATGCTGTCATTTTTGTCAGTGCGTCGCCCAATGCTCTTCCAATCTAAGGTGCATATTGAAAAGCAATTGATTAATATCTCGATGATAGGTTTTATCCCAGAAATGATCTTTTAAGGGGGTGAAAAGGAGGATGGAAGATTGTATGGGGAATCAATAACTACATACTACGTTGAAGTCCCAAGTGAAGGTAGGCAGAGGTTGCCCCTAGAAATCATTGACAACATCATCCGCAGCATGTCCAGACGGCTGGAAACCATAATGAGAGCACGGTGTGGAAACGCTCGATATTAAACATTCATTTAATTAATTTAAGTGTTGCAAATTTATGTCTAAACATGTTAATTTAATTGTTGTTTCATATTTAATTATTATTTGTTTAAAATTAAATTAACCATTTTATATTCCCGCTTTTTTTGTGTTCCGCTAATTCTGCCGGCGTGTGTTTATTAAAAAAATAGTTGTGAGTGATCTTGTGTCTTCATCGTGAATTACCAAATTGTGTGCTACAAAGACATATAAGGTTTTAAATAAAGTAGCTAAGTATTAATATACTCGTAGACTGGGCATAAATGCAGGTTGTAATGCAGATTTATTACATTCAATCTTTTTTTTTAAATTAAACAGTCTTGATTATTTTAACGGGTAACGTAACGTTTAGGTATAGGTATAATAAAGACTGCTGGGCATTTGCCAATTTATTACAACTATTGTTACGACAGCATTGTCTTTTAAGCTTTGGAATTTGACAACAATCTTTGAAGACGTAAAAGCAAGTATAAATCGCTATTGTAATGATTCATTATTAAAATAAATTCATAATACATGTTTGCATCGTTATGTTGTCGACTGGTTTAAATATTCTTTGAGATACATACTTCGATATTTAAAAAGAATTTTTTATTACTGAGAATATCCCTAGATAGACAAAAAAAGTGGCAAAAAAATGTGTCTATTGGTCACTAAGATCCTTTCAGCTGCCAATATCCGTTAGCTGTGCTGTCGCTGTCACTATTAATGCTTAATTACGTGTTAATTAAGCAGTGATAGTGACAGCGACATCACACCAGCATAAAATTGCACGCACACCGGTATAGGGAGCCCGGTTGTTTTAGTTTTCTTCAAGTGAAGAAGTATGTAGGTACATTTATGTTTAGAGTAACTTCACGTTACTATGGTTTTAGCAAAACTTACCTACACATAATTAACATGTTTTCTAAAGTCAGAAAATATGGTTTGTTTAAGTTCGGTATACGTTCCAAAGCCATTCATCTACTCTTTTCTATAGCTCTAAAACACTATCTGCTAATTTAAGTTTGTCATTATATCTACATTTACGCTTTAGCGTTTGAATATTTAAGCTTAAACTCTTCTTAGTAAAATGAAATAATTTACCTTCTTAGCGTTAGGCACAGCACTCAATGCATATCCTAACGGGATTCCAAGCAATCCACTTTGGGCTTCTTCCTCCCAGTCCAACAGTATCACATTCCTCTTCTTCTTGGATATGTAAGCATTTAGAACAGCCGTAGTAGCGGGTCCTGTAGCCTTGCCTCGGTAACCAAACGTATACACTATCGTTGGCAACCCTTGGTTGATGCATGACATTATTTCTAAAGGCTCGTGAAGTGGAGTCGATTTGAATTGTTCAATTGATCTGCAATTTGAAAAGAAAATTACACTCTGCTTTTAAATGCCCCAAATGGTTTTAAGGTTACAAAGGAGGAATTAGTTCCCTATTCAAATCTAATTGTCTTTTTTGTGAACTTTTGCGTTTTTTGATATATACTATTACGTGTGTTTAGAGGAATTAATTCTATGATGTTGTGGCGACTCCCACATACAAAGAAACAGAAACATACTACAGCGCCATCTAATGAAGACACACCGAGCTACGGAGTAACTACTAAAATAAGAATTGCTAATCCTGTATCGCGATACAAAGAATTCCCTCGCCGATTAGCATATATACAACTTCCCAACATCAACCGTTGGGCCGCGGCCCGCCAGGCATGATCACCTCGCCTGGTCGGAGGATCCTCCCTTTGTGTTGGAGGGACATGACACCCGTTCCTCCACAATGTAAGAGGTGGTACATACATATATGAGGTGGGACTAATTCCTCTCATACGCCCACCACTGTAACTCTTGTACACCAGGATCACAATATTGACATCTTCCCCTATCAAAAGTCCACCCAATCCATGTCTTTCCATTATCATTCCATTCCTTATAGCTTGATTATATAATATTATTATACAATATATTGATTGATTTGCTATTGTAACATATTATTTAGTAGGCAGGTTTAGGTAGCCAGACCTTCGGTCACAAAACATTTGGTAGAGAAAAGTAAAAAAAAAATGCTATGGATGCAGAGCAAATTGTCGTTGTAAATAAATACGATTAGAATTTTTTGAACTATAATGAATTTAAATAACTTTATGTAAGTGCATGTAAATAAAGATTTGGCTTAAAGAGAGTGGGAGAGCCATCGCATATGGACCCTCTCGACCGGGGTGGTACCACGGCCTCACAGAAAACCGTTGTTAAATTGTTGTTTTGATTTTAAACCTGTGAGTGAGGTTACCTGAGACCCAACCATGATTATGGCGGGAAGGACTGAAAGAGCGGCAATAAAGAAGTTAGAAAAACATCACTGATTTAAACTCAACCATTTTTTAATTCCTTATGAGGATGTTCCTTTACGTTAGTAGGTATTACATAAATCTCAACACGCGGCAGCGAAAGCTATGTGACAATGAATGGAGGTTAAATTTGTGTCAGCAGATATCAAAAGCAATTAGTTGAAGGTTTATTCTACTTTTGATATTCATGCTCTGTGCTCAATTTATCACGTCAAGCACGTGCAAGGTTATCCCAGATATTTCCTTATAATGAGTGTTTTGATAAGACTTTATAATTACATGGCTAGAATCCATTTGCTGTACTTATAGCTCAAGTATTACCTATTTTAAGTGCCAACCGAACATGTTTTGGAATGTAAAATGTACATATAATGGTCAAAAGAGTCAGTAAATATTGTAAAAGAATAAAGAATAAATAAATAAATAAATGAATATTCTGTAAAAGAGCTTATTTTTATACAAATTTTCAAATAGTAGCAATATCCTTCCAAATGTATTAATTTGTTTGATGGTTTGACATATTTATCAAATGTGTTTATTACAATCACATCTGCTTTCTACCCCTAATGACGTACGGAGTCAAGATGTAAATATTCTTAATTATAATAAGTCAAGTTAAAGTCGCTCATGGTAGACGTACCTATCACACCTGTGTTTGCCGAGACCAACATTCAGGTTTCTTTCATAATTTTCTCTTTTTTTTATCTCAGTATTCAGAAATATTCTAGGCCTAACAGAATTTCGTCCGAGCAATATAAAATAAGAAAATATTAGACAGAAGTGTACATACCTAACTACATTTCAGAGACTTATAAATAATAGACATTCGGCTCTACTTTAATTATATTATTTCTTTACTTGAAATTATCAATAATTATAATTTCTATGCTTTATGCAAGAAGCCCAAAATCGATCTAAGTGGCGTCCGATGGGAGAGGTCTATGTCCAGCAGGCGATAGGCTGATGATGATAATTTCTATCATTATTATATTTATTTTTATTCGTAGGTAAACTTTTGAACTGTCTTACTGCTTAAACAAGGCGAGTGCCTTGCAGTAAACTTAATGTAATTATTATTTGACAATCCCAAACCCTATCTACATATCCATTCAAAAATTGTTTTTATCCATTTTGCGGTCAGTTTTGTTCCTGATGGTTTATCAATGGAACCACAATATGTTGTGTGCCAGTATTATTAGTACGAAAGTAATAGTATAAAAATCATGTTTGATATTTAGGTATGTATTTTTTTAAGAAATTTTAGAAGAAATGCATTACGCTGAAGATTTTGTTGTTGAAAAATTATTTTAGTGTGAGATAGCCCATTTATCGAGGAACGCTATAGGGTATATAACAGTAAGCTACGACTGAAAAATGTTGCAATAACGGGGAAAAGTTATTCTTTTAGAAGACACAGTTGCGCGAGTCAGCTTGTGTTTAATAAGTACACAAATGAATGTATTACAAATTTGAAACTAAAAACAAAAGAACATATCATTTTTAACAGTAGAAGTGTTAATTATGCATTTGGAATTTTATTTAACTAATCTTATCAAGTCTAGTTAACAAAGGAAATTGAATAACCAAGTATTTTAAACTGTATACATATTTGTAACATCATTGTTTCACAATGTTTTGTATACAGACAGCAACCAGCGGAAGTGTCTGTCTGATAAATAAACTGTGTCTGTCTGATAAATAAACTCAATAAAAAAAAAAATAGAATTATAGAAGGAATTGCACAAATTACTGTTGCTATATTCTAGTTTTGTTGTAGATAATACCATGAATATCCACCGACGTATTAAAATTTTACGATTTTAAGCATTAAAAATTAGTGATAATTTTCTCTTTACAAAAACTTTTGACACAAAAAATTACTGCTTGGTAATTTTTAATTTTATTTTCTATTTACCCTGACTAGTAGATTCGATTTTTTATGACTATTCACTGTGATCTCGATTTTTTATGACACTTTTAAGAAACGTGTGACTAACTTATTTATTTCTCTAATTTCTGTACACCTATCACCAGTTCAAAATGAATCCAGTCCATCCAAAGGTTGCCTGGAAGAAATTGCACTAAGCGATAAGGCCGCCCTTTGTACATTACATCTGTTGTTAATACTTTATAATGTCTGTAAAACCCTGATATTCAAATAAAGTATTCATCGATCTATTTAACTCTGTTTATGTTATTATCGACAGCAGTAGAACAAAGGTATTGTTGTGACCCTAATTTTGAAGCAATTTAATGAAAATAGGGGGTAGTATGAGGAATTTCTGATGGTCCGAATGTTTGCATGATCTAAAGAAGAAAGAAAGACGCTTATTTTGGCAATAACACGACACTTTTGACAAATTTGCAGCTATAGTTACCACCGATGCCAAAAACGGACCCAATTCAGCATTGTGTCAGATGAAAGCCTAACGCTGGTTTTCAATTGGGCCCAAAATGATGCTATGCGTAAAACCAGTTGCAGACCTTAATTGCTACGCTATGTACATACGCCATAAGGTTAATAACATATAACAAGACAAATAACGGATATGCAGATCATGCTAAAATACACAACAACATAAATCAATAAAGTGTGTACACTCTTTTTTTTTTATAGCGCTCACCAGCATGCACCATGCATTGGGCATATCCAGTCTCTGCTGTGCGTCTATGAGAGACTGCCACAATCTATACTTAAAAGTGCCGATCGTATTTGACGATCTTATAGGCGGCGGTAAATTGTTTCATATTTTTGAGGCCGCATAGCTCCGAAATCGATAAAAGTCTCGGTTTGAACAAGCTGATTTTCAGTATTAGTCGTTGCCTCTCTCCAATTCTATTAGATGGGTTTTAGGTGCTCCTCCCCATGGGGAAACACAGTAGGCAATGACTGATCTCCAGAGAGCCATAAACACAGTTCTCATAACTTCGGAGTCTGCTACATGTCAAAGCTGTTTGAATACGTATGCAAGTTTACGGACTCTCCCGGCAACATTACTTATATGTCGTGCAAAACTTAGATTTTCGTCAATGGTTACCGCTAGATGGTTTATAAATTTAGTTTTATTAATACACGGACAACTACATATTGCGTTAGGCATCGGTGTGCAAGCCAATCCGTGCGAGCTAGAAACCGCGGCCCATACACCGTATCGGCACAATTCAATTTTAATAGTACCAACGACTCAACTAGCTGTATTCGCAAGAAACGGACAGAAACGGTCTTGGATAAAATGCGCAACCTATAAATACAATTTCGGACTAAGTCAGCAACATGCCTTTCGAACCTTAAATTATAATCAATAAGCAGACCAAGATTACGGGTTTCATTCGCCCTCTCAATTGACTAACCCATAAGGTTATGCTAAAACTGGGAAGTGAGTTTAGATTACTTTTAGTACCGAAAATCATGTATTTTGTTTTATTTGGATTCAGAACTTATGAGTTTATCTCCGCCCAATGCTCGATTCTGTTCAGATCATAATTTAAGTAAGATAATGAATGTTATCAGAATATATACATATATAATATCGTGAATTAATCAAACATTTTATTAAATCCGCTCAGTAAATACTACAGACAATAGGTCCCAATATTGATCCCTGAGGAACTCGCCTTGCAACAGGGGTGAGTTCAGAAACCACTGATGCCCCTCCATTAAGATGCAGTTCCACACTTTGACATCGACCTGACAGATAGCTATGAACCCATTTAACTACATTACTGTCGAACCCGGAGTGTTTACCGAAAGCCCAGGAAAAATCCATTAAAACAAGCAATGTACACATGAACTTGTCTCGTGCTAATAAGATGTTATCAGTCACGTCAAGTAAGACAGTAGCGGTCTCTTGACCCTTTCTAAATCTGGACTGAACCTCTGTTAAAATATTGTTTTTCTCCAAATACTTAGACAACTGAGCGCAAAGAACCTTTTCTGCAAATATTTGTTTCGGAGTTTGG